CTCCATATTCACTGCAGAAGTATAAATGAAGTAGTGGCTGAACAGAAGGAAATACCTGCTGCCTGGCTCCAAAGCCCGACCTTTAAAAGATTAAACTGCGGTGTTGTGTGGTTTTCAAATACGTTTTTGGTTTTTTGGTTTTTTGCGCACACTTTTAAATTAAAAGAATTCTATATTTCAATCAAGCTGTCTCAGAAATAAAAATTGTATCCAGTGGCTGACAATCACAGCCTTCATTTGATGGCACCGAGCGCTGGTGGCCGTTCTCTGCATCTTTCCTCCTGCGCTTATGTTCGCAAACAAATATCCAATCGCACATGTAGCTGAATTTACAGCCTTAACACCCACTCAGATCACTGAGGTGTCACACTTCACGGCTGCCCCAATTACTTTCAGAGGTAATGTCTACCTCCGCGGGCGCAAACACACAAATATGACCAGCCGTAAAGTTCACCCGCCTCGCATATTTACAGTGCGTATGCCCTCTTATACACAAACACCCTAAGGAATCATTACACTTGAATTAATAATATTCCATCTAATTTTTTCCTCAGGCCCACCTACAAATCCCAGCCTCCCCTGAGTGGGGGTGCTGGGTTCAGGACAGAGCTGTTTTTATGGGTTCAACAGGGATACAGACACACTCTGGGCCTACCTTTTATATTCACAATCATCTCCATGTGAGGGGCTGAATGATGTCATACAACACAAGTGCAAGGTCAACAGAGCGTCCGCCTGCGTTTTAGCACAGTTTCGCATGCTTTTGGTTATCACTCATTAAGTGGACGCACACCGCTGGTTCGGATGCTGTGTGTGCCTGAGTGATCTGCATTCCCCCCCTCCAAGACTTGAATCACAAGCACACTTTAGCTCTCACACCATAAACCATCTGCAGGCTTTATTGATTTGGCGATGAATCAATTAGTGAATTATTTAATTAGCAAAACATTATGGGTCAGTGCAGGGCTGCTCCCACCCCGCAGTGCTCCTGGGTCTCTTTAAATCATTTTGCACATATGTTTGGGACCCGTGTGAGTATGTGCACGTCATCATGTCTCTGCAAAAATGACCACACAGAAGTCACGTGGTCTTTGTTTTGGACCTTGAATTCAGACACGATCCCGGGGAGACCTTGTAAAGTCGCCCAGTAAGTTCCTGTTGCCACTTGCCAGATGAGGGCCCGTGTTTCTTTAAAGCTTTATGTGTACAGACTGAAAACTTTTGCTGTCACTCAAGTCCAGATTAGTCTTGGCTGCGGCTGAAAGAGGGAGAAATATGGACATTACGTCTCCCTCGTAGAGTGGATGAGTTACAGCCCGGGCTTGTGATCGGGGCGTCCTTTTGAAGAAGGAGCTTTCTGTGCGCTCATTAATTCATGGGAGTGTTTGGGTTAAAATGCATAATGAGTTCATTAAGGGGGATTGGCGTAATCAAGAAAGGTATTGGCTTAATTACTGGCACAGAGCCAGACCTATTCGTTCTCCCTGAGACCGGCAACCCACCCTGTCCACAGAGCTCACTAATTTAATTAAGTGTACAAAACGGTACACCCTAACGTCGCCCTTGGGGGCAATTATGGCACCAGAGATTGAAAGATCTCCGCCGGGGGTATTTTACTTACTGGCAGGAGATTGCCTGTGTCAGTTAGCTGATTGCATTGATTATATTGATTTGTAACAGCTTTTCGGGTAATTTCATCTGCAAAGGTGAGAGCAACACGTTGGCCGGGGGACTTTTTTATTTATTCTTTTTTTATCTAGACACTGGACTCTTTTGCCAAGTGATTAGATGAAATGGAGCTCCACAATAAGTCTTTTAAAGTGGGAGTTGGGGGAGGTGGATCGATAGTTTTTATTTGCTGTATAAGGTCAACACAGGTCGGATGTTATGAATTCTTTTAAAGGCATCACAACTCCTTCACCAGCAGCGTGGCCACCTTGTTGTGGTTGTGCTGAATCTGCAAGAGAGGGGCTTAAATGGGCACCTATAGGACTGATCTTCAGCTCATAACAGAGACATGTGGGGCAGGTTAGGCTACCTGAGTCAAGCAAACCAGGACACAGAGCTAGGTTGACTCTTTTTAAAGTGCTGGAGAGATACCCCCTACAAGTGCGCATGCTACTTTTTCTTCCTTTTTTTTTCAAGCAAACTCACTGTACTGAAATTGTGTGATGGTAGCTTAGCGGACCCTAAATGTAGGAACTTTTAGTTTTAGCCCTCACAACGTGGTTCCAATCTAAAGGGATGACATCTAGAATCACTGCTAAAGCCATATTATTTGATTTATATGCATTGTACAATTTGCATTTCCATCAAAATTAAGCATGTTCCCACCTCAACATGCAAAAGCCACACAGATAAAGGGCTTAAATTTAGTTTCTGATGTCTTTAAATATGTTTATGAGGAGCTGTGTTTGCTCAGTTTTTAGGCAGACATACACAACCTCAGACACACAATGACATCATCTTCACAACTGTGTTCTCCAAACTGGGGGATGTCTTGGCTGTTGTAGAAATGCTTCCTTTTCTGTCAATTAAAGAGAAGAATGTGCTCTGACATATTAGTTTTAATTGCAGGCCTATAACCTTTGCTAAGTGTGGCAAAGGTACAAAGAGGCTAACAGTTTGATGAGCAGTTCATCAGCGAGAATTAAGAGGATAGGATGACAAGATAATCCAGAGGTGGCATGGTCATTAAAGGTGGCCAGAGGAGAGCAAATTAGCTGATTAAACAACTTCCCACCCAGCCTGTGTCATGCAAGCAGAAAGGAAGGCCTTCGCGGTGATGGACGAGGGGGCGTGGAGGAGGCGTTCATGTCGCTTGCTGGTAGAGTTGTCATCGAGTGAGTGAAGTGTCTTCATCAATTTGGAGCCATTATCATGTCAAAAGGAGAGGGTGGCACTTGCTGGAGGGGAACAGGTTGGGGGAGGAGAGACACTGAAAGCCCATCTGCATACTATAAGCTTATTCATTTTCTCTCTCACACACACACATACTCTCCTTGCTCCTCCAGCCCCTCCTCCCAAGGCAGGCCAGTTTACCGTAAGGCCGTTTAATTTTCCTGAAATAGGGCTGTGACAGCTGTGTCATGCTGATGAGAAGGTGCCGAGAAGAGTGGCAGCCTGTCACATCTCATCTATCTCAGCTCACACTCTGCTGAACTTTTGCTGCCTTCACCTCCCCTCGTTTCGCTTTACTTCTTCTGGGATGTCACACTTTTTTTCTTCTAATGAATGCAGACATGTCAGTCTGTTAAATCTGCTGTTGTGCAAGGGAAGGCTGATTGGTGATTGGCACAGGAAGAGTACAAAAGTAATAAGTGGGAGCTGCTTTTTATTTTACTTGCATAGATTGTTATGGGTCCCTTTATCATCTGACCTGGCTCAATTATGCCAATTGGATATCACAGAGACACAGAGAGGTTGTGGGGACAGCCAAATGAAACGCAGAGAGTGTGTGTGTGCGTGTGTGTATGAAACATGGAGTAAAGACATAGGGAATGAGAGTAGAAAATAGCTTGTTGGTGGAATATGCATTACTTAGCGTGTATTACTTTGCAGAGAGAAGGACAACAATTT